TGATGGATAATAAACAGACATATTTCTAAAGCGCCAGATTATGTAATATGAAGAAAAATGAATATAGCCATACTTTAAATAGTAATAACACACTGAAAGCACTGAGCGAACCGATCAATACACCAGAGAACAATAAATGAAGATTATTAAATTTATTGCTGATGATGTTTTATCACTCTACTCACCTCTCTTTCAACTCATTACATGAATTTAAGTACACGGCTAAATGTGAAGCCAAAGTTGAGTCCTGCTATATTTGCAGAGCTGAAACTATGAAACATTCTGTTTATTTGAACTTTAAACTATGAAACATTCCGATTATTTAAACGTTGAAACATTCTATTTATTTGAACTCCAAACTATGAAGAATTCCATTTATGTAGTGACTAGTGAGTGACTGTAACTTTGTTACTAAAAAGACAAACAAGTAATAAAGCAGAGGTTTTATGCACTAAATGCTTGATCAGAAGAAACTGTGGCATTATTTCAAAACTGAATAGAACAGAGAAAAGAAACTGCAAAGTTTCCAGCTGTTTTAGGCTGATTATTGTCATTAATTTAGGCCTTTTGTTGTAAAGCTCTATTTTTTTTCTTACCAGTCAACTTTATTAATTTCAGTTTCATTGTCAGATCGATCATGTTTTGTTCTTTAACAGTGTTTTTTTTTTTTACTGCACCAACAGTTTCTATTTCCTGTTGTTGTATTCAATTAGGCTGTGAAGTCTTTAAATGTCCCTCACCATTTAAACCTGTCTGATCCGCTCTCCATAATGTTTTTAATCATCATTAATGAGTGTGTGCAGTAAATGTATAGGACCAGCTACATGTTTGATTGCTGCCAATATGGATGTGATTGTGGCCTCTGGGATTCTCCCAAATAAAAACCACACCAGTGTTATTATCTCTCTGAGGTTTCACCTCCTGGATTTTTCCCTTGCCTTAACCAACAAGGCACTGCTTGACATCTGACTAAAAGGCTTTAAAGTGTTGTGTTTTAACAGTGGAGTGAAAAACAGGCCCCTTCTTGTCAGCTGTGAGAATATGCCGAAGGTTAAATGCTTGAATTCTAATAGCATATGATCAAGAAAACACCATTATCCAAGGTGTGTGAGCCTATATCACAAAGATTGAGAATATATACACCTCATGATCCAACCAACTCACTACAAAGACATCTTTGTAGACTTAAGATGCACGCAAACCAGTATTAATTTAGAATACTTATAGTTTTAATATATATATATATTTTGTGTGTGTGTGTGTGTGTGTGTGTGTGTGTGTTAGTTTTATGAATTAGTTATAACGTTTATTTATTTCAAGTAATGTATGGTTTTAGTTTTAGTTGACTATAACAACCCTGATGCAAACCCCATCTAATGTGGCTTTATAGGGTGTATTCAAAATATGGTCCAATTTTCCTGAATTCACCCATATTTGCACTGCACCTGGACAATGCAGTCATTAACTACAACATTTTAATCATGTTCTCATATTTGCACAACAGTTGCAAAGTTGAAATCACGATATGGCGACCTTCATAAACAAGCAGTTCTGGCACCACCCGATGGCCATTAAGAGAAAGTTCATCCCTTTCACAGGGCAGAAGAAAATAAATGCTGGAAAAAGACAAAAACTACATGACCATATATCATACATCTGTAAGCGTAAGTGTAAACTCAAATTAGAGTGTTGCTTCCACTTCCAAAATAATAACACATTAAATGTTCAGTAAACTTGGCTAAATATGGAAAGAATAAAACCTCTATATTTGCCATTAAATGACAGAATGTCTTGAAAAGTAGGCTGAAAGAAAGAAAGCAGTGATTAATAGCATCATTAGTAGTTTACTTTAGAGAGTGTTCCAGATCTTCAGGGAGCAGTCTAGTATTATTTCACAAAGCATATTAGAAATATACTGGCTGACCTGCACGGTAATATGCACATAAAGCAAATGAAAAGAATGGCTTGCCTGTAGATTTTGGTCTTCATTGCAAACAGATTGGAGTCTAATGGGGAGCAGATTATGGCATGATTCTGGTCTAGATTAAACAGCAGGCGTTAAGGGCTGCGGGAGGCACAAACTAATGCATTTTGTATGTTTTACTAGATGCTTTTTATGTGTATCAGCAGTACTGCACTTACAGGAATAGTTCACACACACACACACAAAAAAATTTAGATGAGCTTGTTTCTTCATCAGAACAGATTTGAAGAATTTTGCATTGCATCACTTACTCGCCAGTAAATCCTCTGCAGTGAATGGGTGCCGTCAGAATGAGTGTCCAAACAGCTGATAAAAAACATTAATAATCCACAAGTAAGCCAACTCCAGTCCATCAATTAACTTGTGAAGTGAAAAGCTGTAATAAACAAATCCATCATTAAGGCATTTTAACTTTAAACTGACGCTTCTGGCCAAAAATACCCATCCATAATCCATAATAACAATTTCTCCCGTTGTCCTCTCACATTAAAATCCACCAACATATTTGTTTAAAATGGTTTTGGACTGTTTTTGCTTGTGAACGGTGTTTGATCTGTGCATATTTCTCTCCTGATTCAGACGAGATTACTTTTTCACTGAAGAAAGCGATATTATAAATAATAGATAAAGGACTCTTTAAAAAAAAAATAATTAAACTCTAAAAGATGAATTTGTTTATTACAAACATGTAGATTTCCAATTACTTTATCAAGATGTTAATTGATGGACTGGAGTTGTGTGAATTACTTGTAAATTATTGTGATGTTTTTACCAGCTGTTTGGACTCTCATTCTGACGGCACCCATTCACTGCAGAGGATCCATTGGAAGAAACAAACTTGTCTTGGAAAGCCTGAGGGTAAGTAAATTTATTTTGGGGGGAACTATTTCTTTATAATGCAATGGGAAGCTATACGTTTTCACAAATGATCCACAGCTCAGAGATCAATCCAAAAATACTGAAGGTTTCTTTGAAAGTACTAATAATATGCTTGAAAAGGCAGAAAATAGGCTACATCTGTGCTGACATGTAACTTCTACACAACACTGTTATTGTTTAAAGCTCAAAGCGAAGAAAAGTCATCGCTTGTGTGCTGCGTCGTACAGCGTCTCTGAAACAATCTATTGTTACACAATAACATAATGGATAATTCACAGTGGTTTCTATAAATGCTGTTCCAATTAGTGATAATTGCCCCTTAATAGGATACAGCTGAACGCATGGTTTTGATTTATTTCCTACGCTTCAAAACAAAGATGTTATTAATAAATATTTGGTGGGATTTTCCCGTGGGCAATTTTGAGTGGTGTTGTACATGACAGGAGAGGAATAGATCAGAGGTGTAACTGAAATGCTTTTCACATTAACAAACGAATTAACTCCAGTTTTGGATAAATAACCAAAAATCACATGCCCATTACCTCTCGTGTTTTGAAACCATACACACTACACACACTGTTTTATTAAGAGAAATTACATCATAATAAGCTAATGTATTGAAGCAAAATACTCTTGTAATACTCATATTTTTAAGCAATAAATAAAAAAACTCACTATTGTTACAATAATGTGTGAACAATATTAAAATCAATTAATGAGTCTCTTTCATAATATGTGTAAATGTTTGCAGCACCCAGAAATGAATGCAGTCACATAGCCAGCACACAACAGGCAGGTATTATTTAACATCTAAACATCAGACCATGTTTTGGACTCTTGGACTCTTTTGCCATCTTGTGGACACAAACTGCATAACAGGTACATACAGGTTGTCTCACCTCAATTGATCAAAATGCATTAAAAACCGTAATATTGTGAAATATCATTACAATTTAAAATAACTACATTTTTTATTTTTTTTTATTTAGTTTTCTATTTTAATATATTTTAAAATGTAATTTATTCTGGTGATGGCAAAGCTGAATTTTCAGCATCATTACTCCAGTTTTCAGTGTCACATGATCCTTCAGAAATCATTCTAATATACTGGTATTTTTTAAAAATCAATTATTACTTATTATCTATGTTGAAAACAGTTTTGCTGTGTAATGTTTTTGTGGAAACAGTTATTTTTTTAAAGATTTTTTGAAGAATGAAAAGAACATTTATTTGAAAGAGAAATCTTTACTGTAATGTTTGATCAATTTAATGATTCCCTGCAGAATAAATATACATATTATGTATATGTTTATACACTTCATGTTTAATTAAAACACAGTGTAATTTAAAAAAACATTTATTTAAAATATGTTTTGAACAAGACATCAAATATAATAAAATACAACTGTCTTTTACAAACATACTGATTTTGTTGATTGATTCCACTACAATTGACTATTTAATTCATTCCAGTTACATTTGAGCGTCAGTCTTTACAATTTATTTTAAGTGTTTAAAGTCTTGAGCATCACCTTAGATCAGCTGACCAGATGTTAAAACTACTCACACTGACACTGCATTCCTGCTAATCAGTAACTAGTCACAAAGACAAGTTACAATGTATCAACTCTGTTCATAAAGAACATTTATTCTGTTCAGTAAATTACATGAACAGAAAACATGTCAGACACAATTGTCTTGCATATGAAAACAATTATGCATATATAAAAATATGAAAGAAAACAAAAAGCTAGTGGTTACAGGGAGAAAAAAAATGCTCATCACTGACTCTCTGGTCCCTAACATTGATAACCCATGTATCTCACACCTGAAAATATGCCCTGAAACGACAACACATGGCTTCATGTCCCCTGATTTAAAATAGCAATTCTTCCCTTTTCGTGAATTCCCTTTTGGAACAGTTAGATGGATTTATTAATATAACCTGAAATGATGCATCCATCATAACATGTGCATCTTGCACTAACTTCATAATAACGTCAATAGTTTTGAGTCCTTATAAAAATAAATTCCCTTGTTTTTATGGACTTGATTGAAATAACTGAACTAAATTTATGATCACAAATAAAAACAAATTTTAAATGATAAACATCAAAAAGAATTGTTCATAATAAAGATAAAGTGTCTATGCAGACTGCTGGGTTAAGTGAGAACTATGAAATAAATAGCCACATGTCAGACACAATTGTCTTACATATGAAAACAATTATGCATATATAAAAATATGAAAGAAAACAAAAAGCTAGTGGTTACAGGGGGAAAAATGCTCATCACTGACTCTCTGGTCCCTAACATTGATAACCCATGTATCTCACACCTGAAAATATGCCCTGAAACGACAACACATGGCTTCATGTCCCCTGATTTAAAATAGCAATTCTTCCCTTTTCATGAATTCCCTTATGGAACAGTTAGATGGATTTATTAATATAACCTGAAATGATGCATCCATCATAACATGTGCATCTTGCACTAACTTCACAATAACGTCAATAGTTTTGAGTCCTTATAAAAATAAATTCCCTTGTTTTTATGGACTTGATTGAAATAACTGAACTAAATTTATAGTAAAACAAATTTTAAATGATAAACATGAAAAAAAAATTGGGCATAATAAAGATAAAGTGTCTATGCAGACTGCTGGGTTAAGTGAGAACTATGAAATAAAAAGCCACAATACAGGACACATGAGTAATATCAACTAATCACCTCTAAAAATTCCCCACATATTTGGCTCTCAGTGAAATTCTCTCATGTGTCAAGATGTGGCCACCATATAGACTACATTAGCAAACACTGGCCTATGTGAAAGATCATTCTGAACCAAAACCTGATTTCTAACCTTCACCACTGTGATGTAAGTGTCAACCAAACGCTCTCTGCATCAGAGCTGAAGATGTGTGTTCAGTTGACTGATGGCTGCTCAGAGCTCTCCGAGTCCTCTGTATCACTCCCCATAAGGCCAGTCACCTCAGGCAGATCTACAAAAACAATACAAACATCACAATACAAACATACAGTACACCACCATTCAAAGGTTTGGAGTCAGTACGATTTTTTGAAAGAAACTGATAGTCTTATTCAGCAAGGGCACATTAAATTGATAGTAAAGATATTTATAATGTAACAAAAGTTATTTTCTGTTTTTTTTAAATGCTGTTGTTTTGAACTTTCTATTCATTAATGAATATTGATGCAAACAAGTAGTAATAGTACAGCTGTTTGCAGCACTGACAATAATAATAAGAAACATTTCTTGAGCAGCAAATCAGCATATTAGAATGCTTTCTGAAGGATCATTTGACACTGAAGACTGGAGTAATGATGCTGAAAATTCAGCTTTGCCTTCACAGGAATACATTTCATTTTAAAATATTAAAATAGAAAACAGCCATTTTTAAATTGTAATATTTCACAATAAATATGACTGACCCTAAACATTTGAATGGCAGTTTAAACCTATGGAATCAACCTTTTATTATCTGATACTGATCACTTTTAAAGGGGTCATATATTTTTATTATGAAAATAATCACTTATATATACATAATCCAGTTAATCATGACCATTTCCACCTTCTTCACCTTCAAAAGCACAAGGTTTGGCAAACCTTCCCACATTTTATCATTAGTCTGGGTTTCTTAATAGGTGTGCTTAGAATAACTGAATCAAAGTACTTAGTTGTCACAGAAAAAAAAAATTAAATCAATAAATAAATATGATGCAGTCTGGTTTCTTGCACTCCATCATCTCCAAACATTGAGGAAAATTTGCCTCATGATTTGACCCCTTTAAATTAAAGGTGGATGATTGATGTTTCTGATTGTTTTTTGTGGAAAAAATCATGTAGTTCAGATTCCTGATTGTTATTTCAGATGCTGACATGTTACCCTCACCCTTAAAGTCTTTGCTGTTTATTGAACCATTCATATGATCTTGCATAGATACTGTAATACAAAACATCATGTCGACCATGAGGTGAAGAGGTTATCGAGTAACACTATTAAACAGAGGCAGTCAAAGAGGAAGTACATGTTTAAAAGCAAGAAAGACATAAATGACAGTTTTGTCAAGTGTCTTACAGTGCACTATCTTTATAGGCCAGATAAGGATCGTGCAGAGGCTCAGCGCTGCTAAAACGGCCACTCCACCAGTGACGATGACCATGATATAGTGATAATACCACACACAGCCTGGACAGCATACCATTGTGCTATATGAGAGAAATCACGCATGTAAAAAAAATTTTTTTTTTAAATTACATTTTGTTTTACTTCTTTTACTCTAAACATAAAATGAAACCATTAAAACAGTCTCTCTCACAAGCAAGCATCTATGCAGGGACATACACACTTACCGGCAGGGATGTAGCGTCTGAATAATCATAACTCCCAGACCATTAGCCACCTTGTCTGTGAAGCTCATAGCTCCATAAACAAAAGCACCACTTTGCTGTCAGGAGGAAAAGAAAAAAAGTCAGAATCAGAAACTCGAACACTTCTTTAATAGCACAATTTTAGTTCCTTACAACCATTTTTACACTTTTGAAACTAGTCACTCTGAAGCATATGCCTTTCACTTCTGTAAACATCTGAATATCTTACTGGCTCAATCATGCGTTACTGTTGAAGTTGTTAGTGCTGAATCCGCTCTATAAAACATTTGCTTCAAGTGGTTCCTGTTCATTTTCAGTTCTCCATTACTGACTGATATCAGCACTTACTGTTTGGTCTCCTATGAGTTCGGCTGTCATGGCAAGTGACATCACCAGGATGGTAGCGGACCCCACTCCGAGCAAGACCGCAGCGCCATACACCTTTTCTCCCATGTGTGTGTCCAGCAGCACCCAACAGGAGAACGCAAGAATCAGCAACAGTCCCAAAAAATAGGTCATCTGTCAATAAGAAAAAAGGACACTTTAGTGCAAATAAAATCCTTCTATCATATTGTATTAGCTTCCAATACTGCACATGAATACTTCCAATACTTCCATTCGTTTTCATTTTTAAGATGGTCCCTTAAATACTGGATGGGGACCGGGGCCCACTAGGTGGCCTTATGGTTAGAGAGTTGGACTTGTAACCTGAAGGTTGTGGGTTTGAGTCTCAGTACCGACAGGAATTGAAGGTGGGGGGAGTAAATTTACAGAGCTCTCTTCCACCTTCACAATTAATTACTCTAGTGGCGAAAACTTACATATTGTACCTTTAACACTTGATGGGCAATTTCCTATTTTGTTCTCTTTTTTACTTCCTGATGAAGACAAGAAGATTTTTAGCACTAATTTAACAAGGATGCACATCAGGTGTGTTATTAAAATCTATAATTGACATACCTCCAACTCATAAAGCTTCGGCTCAAAAGAAATCACACATTCCCCCACTAGTAATTACGACTTTATGGTGGTGTTCGTGTGCGCTCAACTCATAAATTTGATCACACGTATATGACGCAGCAAAACTGACTGGTATCTCTGGATTGTTAATCACTTCAAACAAAGAGAAGAGGTATATGGTTTATATTTCAATCAAAACACACACATGCAAACTTATACTCACACATTTGCCTATTAGCTTGCTTAGAGGCTTCATGATAAATGAGGAAGCGAAACCACTCAGGAACATGACCAGGGGAATGGTGGCTATGTACTTCTGCAAAAGAGAGGATCAAACAGTGATCACTGCCTTTTTTCTTCGATGCTTTTGCTGATGAACTGGGTGCAAAGTGTAGTATTACTATAGCTGTCTTACCTTTGGCAGCAGTAGTGTGTAGGTGAGATACATGGATATGTATGTTTGCGACAGGTTCACTATCAGTCTGGTGGACATATAAAGCAACGCCACCTGAATAACAGAGCAGGGTTTAGAGATGACATTAACTTTCTGAACTGTCTGTTATAACAGACAGTTACTAAATACTGTATCCTGAACATTTTCACACCACTGTGATTAAGTGATAACATTGTGTTTCAAGCCACTATTCAGATTAATCACAAAAGCTGAGAATTAACTTACATGCCACTGAAACGTAACATAGGTATGGGCTGCTAACCTGGTAGAATGATGGCTGTCTCAGCCAGTGCTTCCACTGCAGCAGACTGGTGGGAGGAGACACAGTGGTGTTGTTAAGAAGAGGCTGCCGCTCCCCAGGACTAGAGCCCTCCTCCTCCCGACGGGGACGTGCCCCCTTCTCCCGTGTGCCCAGGTGAAAGAGCAGCGAGAACAGAGCTCCAATGCCCACTACTGTAAGACTTAGACCCTGAGTGTGAACAGATATTACTGCATGAAGCTTGTCAGGGCTGTTTTGATGTTAACCTGGTAGGGTAACATCAACAGAAGCAAAGACGGAAAAGTCTGGTCTACAAAACATCAGCTGAAAACCATAAACTGTTGATTATATGCATTTAATATATTTAACTACCCTAGTAAAAAATAAATACACTAAAATTGTACTTTTAGTATACTAAACTGGTATATTTAAAGTCTGCAAAATTGGAACAACTAATTTTGTACTTAATGCACATTAATTGTGCGGAAGTAGTGCTGAACATATACTGAAGTATATTTGATTGTGCTAAAGTGGAACTATTGCAAGTATACTTCAGGTACATTTTAAATATCTTGCATTTAAAGACCGATGTTATTCAAAGATCATACAATCCTCATCAATAGTGACATAAAAACACATTTTAGACTTAATATTAAGAAATGTGCATTGTGCACAAGTAGTACTCCAAACAAAGTTTAATTATAATTTTTATATCAGTAAGCAATATGCCAGTAAATATTTTAACAGATGTGAACTATAGTTAGTATGAAATAAATGTATTTTTTACTAGGGTACTACCACTCATTTAAAGAAGCATCTGAGAGAAATTTGCTGGAATATCAAAATGTATACTGACTTTTAAGTCAACATGAAATTAAAACTGATCCTCTTTATTTAAATAAATGTTCCTTGTCTTACTGTTCATAGATAGATAGATACATAGATAGATAGAAATCATTCTAATATGCTGATTTGGTGCTTATTAAGGTCTTATTACCAATGTTAAACAGCTGTGCTGTTAAATATTTTTTTGTGGAAACGGTGACATTTCTTTCAGGATTCTTTAATGAATAGAAAGTTCAGAAGAACAGCATTTATTTTAATAATTTTTGTATCAGTTGTATCAGAACATTTTTTCTTTAAAAAAAACCACCTTTGTACAGTAGTGCATGTAATATAGAGTATAATTTTAAATATCTACACACACGGTCACAAAAATTTTAAAATCATGGAGTCTTTAAATTGAGCTATTTTATAATTCAGGATGAAATGACCAAGGCTTCAGTTCAGCACAAGAACATCAGCACTCACTCTGAAAACAGGGATGTCAACCGGGCCGAGGTTTTCCGTAATGGCGGGATCATCTCCTTCCTGAGTCTGAAAATGAAACATCAGCCAGGCCACTGCATACACTGTGATGTTGGCTATCACCGTAAAGGCATACCTAACAGATACAACCAAAACACAATAAAAAGCTAATACATCATCCCGGTCACTACAGACAAAGTCCTCCAAACAAGCATCACGAGAATGGTTGATCATCACATGCTCAGATCTGCATGAGTTTACCTGTATGCAGTGAGCTCCACTTTTTCATGCTCGCAAGTCACCAGCTCTGGAATGAGGGAGAGATGGGAAATCTGGGTGGCCGCCCATCCAAACTGGAATCCTGCTAATCAGTAACTAGTCACAAAGACAAGTTACAATGTATCAACTCTGTTCATAAAGAACATTTATTCTGTTCAGTAAATTACATGAACAGAAAACATGTCAGACACAATTGTCTTGCATATGAAAACAATTATGCATATATAAAAATATGAAAGAAAACAAAAAGCTAGTGGTTACAGGGAGAAAAAAAATGCTCATCACTGACTCTCTGGTCCCTAACATTGATAACCCATGTATCTCACACCTGAAAATATGCCCTGAAACGACAACACATGGCTTCATGTCCCCTGATTTAAAATAGCAATTCTTCCCTTTTCATGAATTCCCTTATGGAACAGTTAGATGGATTTATTAATATAACCTGAAATGATGCATCCATCATAACATGTGCATCTTGCACTAACTTCATAATAACGTCAATAGTTTTGAGTCCTTATAAAAATAAATTCCCTTGTTTTTATGGACTTGATTGAAATAACTGAACTAAATTTATGATCACAAATAAAAACAAATTTTAAATGATAAACATCAAAAAGAATTGTTCATAATAAAGATAAAGTGTCTATGCAGACTGCTGGGTTAAGTGAGAACTATGAAATAAATAGCCACATGTCAGACACAATTGTCTTACATATGAAAACAATTATGCATATATAAAAATATGAAAGAAAACAAAAAGCTAGTGGTTACAGGGGGAAAAATGCTCATCACTGACTCTCTGGTCCCTAACATTGATAACCCATGTATCTCACACCTGAAAATATGCCCTGAAACGACAACACATGGCTTCATGTCCCCTGATTTAAAATAGCAATTCTTCCCTTTTCATGAATTCCCTTATGGAACAGTTAGATGGATTTATTAATATAACCTGAAATGATGCATCCATCATAACATGTGCATCTTGCACTAACTTCACAATAACGTCAATAGTTTTGAGTCCTTATAAAAATAAATTCCCTTGTTTTTATGGACTTGATTGAAATAACTGAACTAAATTTATAGTAAAACAAATTTTAAATGATAAACATGAAAAAAAAATTGGGCATAATAAAGATAAAGTGTCTATGCAGACTGCTGGGTTAAGTGAGAACTATGAAATAAAAAGCCACAATACAGGACACATGAGTAATATCAACTAATCACCTCTAAAAATTCCCCACATATTTGGCTCTCAGTGAAATTCTCTCATGTGTCAAGATGTGGCCACCATATAGACTACATTAGCAAACACTGGCCTATGTGAAAGATCATTCTGAACCAAAACCTGATTTCTAACCTTCACCACTGTGATGTAAGTGTCAACCAAACGCTCTCTGCATCAGAGCTGAAGATGTGTGTTCAGTTGACTGATGGCTGCTCAGAGCTCTCCGAGTCCTCTGTATCACTCCCCATAAGGCCAGTCACCTCAGGCAGATCTACAAAAACAATACAAACATCACAATACAAACATACAGTACACCACCATTCAAAGGTTTGGAGTCAGTACGATTTTTTGAAAGAAACTGATAGTCTTATTCAGCAAGGGCACATTAAATTGATAGTAAAGATATTTATAATGTAACAAAAGTTATTTTCTGTTTTTTTTTAAATGCTGTTGTTTTGAACTTTCTATTCATTAATGAATATTGATGCAAACAAGTAGTAATAGTACAGTTGTTTGCAGCACTGACAATAATAATAAGAAACATTTCTTGAGCAGCAAATCAGCATATTAGAATGCTTTCTGAAGGATCATTTGACACTGAAGACTGGAGTAATGATGCTGAAAATTCAGCTTTGCCTTCACAGGAATACATTTCATTTTAAAATATTAAAATAGAAAACAGCCATTTTTAAATTGTAATATTTCACAATAAATATGACTGACCCTAAACATTTGAATGGCAGTTTAAACCTATGGAATCAACCTTTTATTATCTGATACTGATCACTTTTAAAGGGGTCATATATTTTTATTATGAAAATAATCACTTATATATACATAATCCAGTTAATCATGACCATTTCCACCTTCTTCACCTTCAAAAGCACAAGGTTTGGCAAACCTTCCCACATTTTATCATTAGTCTGGGTTTCTTAATAGGTGTGCTTAGAATAACTGAATCAAAGTACTTAGTTGTCACAGAAAAAAAAAATTAAATCAATAAATAAATATGATGCAGTCTGGTTTCTTGCACTCCATCATCTCCAAACATTGAGGAAAATTTGCCTCATGATTTGACCCCTTTAAATTAAAGGTGGATGATTGATGTTTCTGATTGTTTTTTGTGGAAAAAATCATGTAGTTCAGATTCCTGATTGTTATTTCAGATGCTGACATGTTACCCTCACCCTTAAAGTCTTTGCTGTTTATTGAACCATTCATATGATCTTGCATAGATACTGTAATACAAAACATCATGTCGACCATGAGGTGAAGAGGTTATCGAGTAACACTATTAAACAGAGGCAGTCAAAGAGGAAGTACATGTTTAAAAGCAAGAAAGACATAAATGACAGTTTTGTCAAGTGTCTTACAGTGCACTATCTTTATAGGCCAGATAAGGATCGTGCAGAGGCTCAGCGCTGCTAAAACGGCCACTCCACCAGTGACGATGACCATGATATAGTGATAATACCACACACAGCCTGGACAGCATACCATTGTGCTATATGAGAGAAATCACGCATGTAAAAAAAATTTTTTTTTTAAATTACATTTTGTTTTACTTCTTTTACTCTAAACATAAAATGAAACCATTAAAACAGTCTCTCTCACAAGCAAGCATCTATGCAGGGACATACACACTTACCGGCAGGGATGTAGCGTCTGAATAATCATAACTCCCAGACCATTAGCCACCTTGTCTGTGAAGCTCATAGCTCCATAAACAAAAGCACCACTTTGCTGTCAGGAGGAAAAGAAAAAAAGTCAGAATCAGAAACTCGAACACTTCTTTAATAGCACAATTTTAGTTCCTTACAACCATTTTTACACTTTTGAAACTAGTCACTCTGAAGCATATGCCTTTCACTTCTGTAAACATCTGAATATCTTACTGGCTCAATCGTGCGTTACTGTTGAAGTTGTTAGTGCTGAATCCGCTCTATAAAACATTTGCTTCAAGCGGTTCCTGTTCATTTTCAGTTCTCCATTATAGCACAATTTTAGTTCCTTACAACCATTTTTACACTTTTGAAACTAGTCACTCTGAAGCATATGCCTTTCACTTCTGTAAACATCTGAATATCTTACTGGCTCAATCATGCGTTACTGTTGAAGTTGTTAGTGCTGAATCCGCTCTATAAAACATTTGCTTCAAGTGGTTCCTGTTCATTTTCAGTTCTCCATTACTGACTGATATCAGCACTTACTGTTTGGTCTCCTATGAGTTCGGCTGTCATGGCAAGTGACATCACCAGGATGGTAGCGGACCCCACTCCGAGCAAGACCGCAGCGCCATACACCTTTTCTCCCATGTGTGTGTCCAGCAGCACCCAACAGGAGAACGCAAGAATCAGCAACAGTCCCAAAAAATAGGTCATCTGTCAATAAGAAAAAAGGACACTTTAGTGCAAATAAAATCCTTCTATCATATTGTATTAGCTTCCAATACTGCACATGAATACTTCCAATACTTCCATTCGTTTTCATTTTTAAGATGGTCCCTTAAATACTGGATGGGGACCAGGGGGTCAGGGGACCGGGGCCCACTAGGTGGCCTTATGGTTAGAGAGTTGGACTTGTAACCTGAAGGTTGTGGGTTTGAGTCTCAGTACCGACAGGAATTGAAGGTGGGGGGAGTAAATTTACAGAGCTCTCTTCCACCTTCACAATTAATTACTCTAGTGGCGAAAACTTACATATTGTACCTTTAACACTTGATGGGCAATTTCCTATTTTGTTCTCTTTTTTACTTCCTGATGAAGACAAGAAGATTTTTAGCACTAATTTAACAAGGATGCACATCAGGTGTGTTATTAAAATCTATAATTGACATACCTCCAACTCATAAAGCTTCGGCTCAAAAGAAATCACACATTCCCCCACTAGTAATTACGACTTTATGGTGGTGTTCGTGTGCGCTCAACTCATAAATTTGATCACACGTATATGACGCAGCAAAACTGACTGGTATCTCTGGATTGTTAATCACTTCAAACAAAGAGAAGAGGTATATGGTTTATATTTCAATCAAAACACACACATGCAAACTTATACTCACACATTTGCCTATTAGCTTGCTTAGAGGCTTCATGATAAATGAGGAAGCGAAACCACTCAGGAACATGACCAGGGGAATGGTGGCTATGTACTTCTGCAAAAGAGAGGATCAAACAGTGATCACTGCCTTTTTTCTTCGATGCTTTTGCTGATGAACTGGGTGCAAAGTGTAGTATTACTATAGCTGTCTTACCTTTGGCAGCAGTAGTGTGTAGGTGAGATACATGGATATGTATGTTTGCGACAGGTTCACTATCAGTCTGGTGGACATATAAAGCAACGCCACCTGAATAACAGAGCAGGGTTTAGAGATGACATTAACTTTCTGAACTGTCTGTTATAACAGACAGTTACTAAATACTGTATCCTGAACATTTTCACACCACTGTGATTAAGTGATAACATTGTGTTTCAAGCCACTATTCAGATTAATCACAAAAGCTGAGAATTAACTTACATGCCACTGAAACGTAACATAGGTATGGGCTGCTAACCTGGTAGAATGATGGCTGTCTCAGCCAGTGCTTCCACTGCAGCAGACTGGTGGGAGGAGACACAGTGGTGTTGTTAAGAAGAGGCTGCCGCTCCCCAGGACTAGAGCCCTCCTCCTCCCGACGGGGACGTGCCCCCTTCTCCCGTGTGCCCAGGTGAAAGAGCAGCGAGAACAGAGCTCCAATGCCCACTACTGTAAGACTTAGACCCTGAGTGTGAACAGATATTACTGCATGAAGCTTGTCAGGGCTGTTTTGATGTTAACCTGGTAGGGTAACATCAACAGAAGCAAAGACGGAAAAGTCTGGTCTACAAAACATCAGCTGAAAACCATAAACTGTTGATTATATGCATTTAATATATTTAACTACCCTAGTAAAAAATAAATACACTAAAATTGTACTTTTAGTATACTAAACTGGTATATTTAAAGTCTGCAAAATTGGAACAACTAATTTTGTACTTAATGCACATTAATTGTGCGGAAGTAGTGCTGAACATATACTGAAGTATATTTGATTGTGCTAAAGTGGA